TTATGACTATATATTATGGATATTTAGAGTTATCCCTCATTTAACTTAACTTAGCAAAACTTTAAGGTTTTAGGTTACCAAAAAGATTTGGGGAAACTAAAAATTTCACCTAAAAACTCTTATTTCATAAACATCTATCTAATTCACTTGTTTTCAACAATTATGTTTAGATTACTCACAAAAACTTGATGAGACATTAAACAAAGTCAGTCATCATCTCAATATATTTTTTCATGCTGATAAATTTTGTAAGAGATAAAACATGATCTCTTTTGACCTTTAATAAGCCTTGGTAGAATAAAAGAATTATGTTTAATCCTGGTAACTCTAAAGACATGCCTGTTTTAATGAAACCAACAAACTTAAAGTAGTTTTAATACCCAATATTTTCCCAGATCATGTAAACCTGAAATTCATTTGGGTTAGTTTCTATTATATTTCTGAGAATTCAGTTTATATAAATGCTTAATTTTCTTTAAGTCAGTTAAATAGAATTCTTTTACAAATTAATTTTGGCAGTACTATCCATAGGAAGAAAAATACCTTACAGGACCTATATATAAACACACACAAACAGGGGCGCCTGGGCGGCTCAGTTGGTTAAGCATCTGACTTCTGCTCAGGTCATGATCTCAGGCCCCTGGGATAGAGCTTCAGCAGGGAGTCGGCTTGTCCTTTTCCCTCTGCCCTTCCCCCTGCATGTGTGCCTGTGCCCCAAATAAATAAAAACAATCTTAAAAAAATAAACACCTATAAATATACAGACAGAGAACTTATAGCTTCCATTTTAAAAATCACTGCCATCGAATCAAGTACAATAATGCAAATTAATACTTCTGAGAAGCATTCCTCTAAGTTTCAAATGATCTTTTCCTTTTTGTGTTCTTTTGATAAGAATTACCTCCCCAAGTTTGTACTTTAAAGAGATGACCTAGATAAAAGTTAGCATTTGCATCTCAAAGACACAGGGAAAGAATTCATGTTCCTCCAACAAGGACTTTGGTGTCCTAAGGCCAGAAATTTTACAATACTTATAAGCCTTTAGAAATAAAGAGGGGAGGTTTGGAGAGTGATAAAAAGTAATAAGTGAACTTTAAACTACCTCTACAGCTACATTTCTAAAGATTTGTAAGATAAAGAAAGACAGTCACTCTCAATTTCTTCAAGAATTGGATTGTAGCCTAAATGATATCATAGGTTGATCCACTCATTCAAGTACCTTACCTTCAATTTGCTTTTTTATACCAGGGATCTTTAGAATGTTTTAGCAAATCCTTTTACAAAGGCTTCGGAAGGTTTTTCTTTCTGGGTGCATAATTTCATTTTAGTTTAGGTAAGGAGGCCTAAAATAATTTCTTTCAGGCTCCATATATGAGCTTTCATTTTCTGACCAACTTCTGACCATAGAGCTACTAAAAAATCCTTTAGACTATCTTGTCAGTTTTCAGCTAGGACAAACAGTTATTTCTGGCAGTATTTAACAACCCCACTTGGGTGTACGAAAGGCCCCATAGAGGATGCAAAGGATATTATCTTCCTAAGATCCAGAGTCACTCCCAAAGATAGCCAAAGGAAAGAATCAACCACCTCCATGTCCAAGGCAGGCAGGAATCCAAGCCTGGTTTGTAAGACACAAAATGAGAAAAGCAAGAAGGCATATAGCTATCTCTGGGAGAGAAAGGATCAATAACTAATGGGTCTGGATTTGGAAAGGAAGGGACAATATGAAATTTTATTTTCCGCTCTTGATTGAGCACTATGGACAGAGATTTGTGAGAGCTGACTCTGGTAAGAATTCTCACCCTTTGCTGTCTTCTACCAGCTTTCCCAAGATGTCCTTCGCAGGCTCCAGAATTTGGCAAGGTTTTTAATTAATTTTGGTTTTAGTTTCCCTTGGCTGTTTAAGGGCATAATGTAGCAGTTTACCAGAAAATCCCTCAGGGTCTCATCAACTCTGGGAGAGGCCTATACGGGAATCTTCCTTCAAGGATAGATATGAAGGCATTTGAGTTGATGTTGAAGAATTTGCATAGGGCCTTTGTAAAGTCTGTGTAAAACTTTAAGCAAAGGCCTTCTTTCTGAGTGTACAGTTTAAACTTGGGCCAATTCACCTCTGTTGCAGGGTTGGAGGGAAGCATCTCCTGTTGCTTCTATCAGCCCCTGAACATTGGCCGTCAGCTGATCGTTTGTAGGAGGGCCTAGGAGAAATTCTGGTCATCTGTTTCCTCTGGGGGGGTGGTGGGCAGTTTTCTCAGGGAGCCATATGATTTGTCTCTTAACTGCAATATACCTATGGGTGGGAAGAACACCCCTTAGCATCTAATAAGGTCCTTGTGAGTGGGGGGTTGAATGGCCACTAATCTTTCCAACTCCTCTCTAAATTGGTACGATCTTCTGAAAGTGAAGATAAAGGGGCTTTATAATTTAAAAGATTGGCTGCTGTCCATGGGACATGAATTCTTTGCAGAGGGGGTCCAGGGTATACCTGAAAAGGACATTGTATGGGAAGACCTGAAGCTGGTAGAGCCTGATTAAAGAGCCCTGGAAAGTAGGAATTATAAGGGATAGCAAAGTGAGCCACATCACCCTTCTTGAGTGCTTCTACTAAAATCACTTCCTAGCTTTCAGCACTTACACAAGTAACCCGTATACCCTGGACCTGGAGATCAGGCAAGAGTGTTCTCTATAAATGTTAGAGGAAAAGGGAAGCTGAACTAGGCAAATGGAGCCAGATTTTGAAAAGGAGAATTTACATTGGATGTAGACTTTAAATTTTTTTCTAATTTTTGTTCCTTCATTTTGTTAAGGAAGTCCCTAAGGCTAGCCATTATATTCCTTTGTGTCCCAGTTTTAATTTAGTTTTTCCACAGGTGTCAATAGGATGAGTGCTCTCTAAAAATTTCAGTGTAGAAGTCCAATTCAAAAGATCCATTGTCTGGCCGTTGATAAGTAGGATCTATTAATCTCAGTAGTGACTCAAACCAATAAGCCTCTCTATGGACACAAAAGGTATCCCAAAGGAGAGTGCAAAAGATGCAGCCCCCACAAGATCCAGCCTAAGAAAACAAAGACATTTATTATCACAGTGAGACAACAAAGGTTGAGATGACAAAGGCCCCTTATGGACTGGGACCCCTTAAGACAAAATCCCCATGACAGCTGGCAGACTCAGACGAAGAAACCTCACTCTAGACCTAGTTTAGCCCAAGTTCTGGTTTTTAAGTTGGACCCAGGCCTAACTCCAGTCAGCTGAGATCCACAGCCTGTTCAGCTGTCTGCCAAACGCACACTGGTACATGTACCCTTTGGTTGGCAGAATATTCTCACTGGTCATAAAGCCAAGCTCTCAAGTTGTAGAAAGTGACAAAGGGAAACAGAGGAAAATGATCAATAGAAAACAAAAGTACTAATACCAAATCTTTATCAGACATACTATACCCAAGGAACTTATTCCATAAATATTTTCTCCTGCTAATCTAAATTTAGAAAAGAAAAGGACTCTCACCACTCTTGCTTTCATGAGACTCTGTAGGCAGAGATCCAGGAGACTGACATAGTGAGAATTCTTGCCAGCCAGTTAAAATTTATCTTGCTGAATATGCTAACTGTTGTGGAGGAAAAATGTTCCTTCTAGTCTTCTAGGTTCTCTGGCTGCTCTAATAATTAAAATGACATAAGACAGATTAACAATAAAAAAATTAATTTCATAGGTACAGGGGCCCCATGGAAATATGAGACCCAAGGGCAAGTAGGGCAGTTGAGGCTTATATGCCATCATGAGCTAAGGAATGGGATTGGAGGGGGAGAAGGGTAATTCACAGGACAATAAGGAGAGATGTTTGATACAATAGACCCCCCCTCTTATCCACAGGGGATATAGTCCAAGACCCCTAGTGGATGCCTAAAACCATGGAGAGTACTGAACCTTATATAAACTGTTTTTTCCTATATAATCTATGGTAAAGTTTAATTTATAAGTAGGCACAGTAAGAGATTAACAGCAATAACTAATAAAATAACTATTAAAATAGAACAGTTATATTGTTATATGTTATACTGTGATAAAAGCTATGTGAACGTGGTCTTTCAAAATATCTTATACTCACTCTTCTCCTTCTTGTGATGATGGGAGATGATAAAATGCCTAAATGATGGGATGAAGTGAGATGAATAATGTAGGCATTATGACATAGCATTAGGCTACTATTGATCTTCTGATGATACATCAGAAGGAGGATCATCTGCTTCTGGACTGCAGTTGATCGCGCATAATTGAAACCACAGAAAGCAAAACCATGGAGAAGGATGTGGGGGAGGAGGAGACTACTGTAATTAGATGTTTGCCCTGCCATACAGATAGGTCATTCAAATAAAAGTTGTTTCTGGTAATAACTCTCTCAGACCAGGCCTCCTAATCTATAAATTCTTTTATGTAGTTAAAGGAGAGGTAAATGTTTTTCTTGAGTCTGCTGAGTCTTGATTGCCTTCAGCTCAAAATAATCCCCATGCCAACGTGGCATATTTTCCAGTCATGTATTCTGTACCCTGTCACCAGCTCTTGCTCACTATAGCATTAGGTGATATAATATAAACCTTTGACTTAGTAAGAGTTAAGAGATACACAAGACCCGTTTCTCTAATCACTTAGCTATATTTTATCATTTTGTTATGAAATTTCATAAGGTAAAATTTTAATTAAAATCATATCAAAAAAATCATATCAGAAAATAAGAATTGAGCTTTAGGAGAGTTGTTTTTCTAAGTGAAATGAAGAGATGTTACATTTAGTAAAGTAATTGTTCTATATACAAAGTGCACAAGAGAAAGGAATGCTATCCTCAAACATAGCTGTGGTATCTATGCACTAGCAAATATGGCAGAAGTTGCCAAGTTTAACTTAGTTCTTCATCAGTTACTGGTTTATTTATAAACTAATTTAGTTTCAAAAATAATTGTAAACATCTAATCCTTCCCCCTTTTTTTGTGATTTTTAATCCTAGGTGACATATGGAAGGAAACCTTAGTATTTTTCTTGATACCATTTGCTTTTGTCTCATTATTTGTTTTGGTAATAACTTGTCTGCTTTTGTATAAGCAAAGGGCTTTGCTGAAAATGGTAAGTTGTATAACATAATGTTTAATCTGAGATAGTAGCTAACAAATAAATGTTCTGCTTTTAGAACTGATGGACCTATGTTTTATAATTTTTCCTGTAAACTGTGGTGTACAATTGATGTTGTATGGATTATGATGATGTCTTCAGAAAATGCAATAATTTAAAAAATTAACCCTATAAAGCTCTATTTGGAGGTGGATTTACCTTTGTTGAAATATAGGAATAATGCTTTAGAATATGAAACACTATTTACCTCTAGATTAGGGAACAATATAAGGAAAGAGTTACAGGAGAAAAGCAGGATTGGGAGGAAGGAAAGAATGACTTCAACTGGATGCAGACTGAAATATATTACTAGTGTGTCACAAGCAAAAATCAAAAAAATTGAAAAAGATAGTGCCTGCCCTCCAAGAGCTTATACTCTAGTTGGGGGAGATAGAATCTATAAAAAATACAACCTGTACCGTGAGCTGTTTTTAGATGATTCCTATTTAGAGAATTTCAGAAGATGAAGGTCACTATGGATTGGCGAGCTTTAAGAAGAAATTGTGACTTGGAGAAAGATATCTTAATGCCAAGTCTTTTAAAGATAAAGGGAAATTTGAATGTGTATGGAATGTTTCACTTTATTTCTCTGCTGAATGCTTTTTTAAGATCTATTTCTCTGAGTTACTACTAATCTGAGTTGAAATAGTTTGTGTTATTATTGACTATTTGTTAATAATGGAGCTCTTTTTTTTTTAATTTCAGATCTTTCATACAAAAAAAGAAGTCTTTTCTCATCAAGAGACATTCTGTTGACTCATTAACTTTCAGTCTTATGGCCAAATATTAAATATGAGTCTTATTAAACTGAAGCTTTTCTCCAAATATTGAATAAATCTTATTTTAAAAGCATTGTTGTATTTAAATAGGCTTTAGAATACTCAAACCCTCAACTAGTAGTACATTTTCTGGATTCTATTAATAGGTTTTTTCCTCATTAATACATGGTCAGAGTGCTACACATAGAGAAGTCAAGGGTTGGGTCAAATTCTATTCACTGATGTGTTAATAAAACAATGTGATTTTATAACTTGCACTAAGCCAGAAATATTGTTGAATTCTGGAAGTTGAGATTCTCATTTTTTTTTTTTAAATTGTCCTTGGGATGAATGTATTCACCATAAGTAAAGTTGCTTGGCTTTAAAAGTAACCTGTGGAGAGGATTAATAAGAAGCAAGAAGTTTTCAATACCTTCATAGTCTAAATATGTGCTTTATATTTTGTGAAAAAGGTGGAAAAAATGCAATGCATAGAAGGCTGAAAATAATAAAATGAGAGAGATCATATTTGAAAAATTCAGATGTCACAAACATGCAGGAAAAACTTGGGAGTTTCCTGTACTAGTTGGCAGGCAGCATCTCCTACTTTCTGATGGTGTGATTTTTTTTTTTTTTTTTTAAGTTCAGGAACCAAAAGGCAGAAGCCTTTGAAATTACTGAGAAGCCTTTAAAAGTACATCCAACTTTCAGACTAATTGACAACTTCTGGAAGAGAACATGACAACCTAAGTGTAGAGAGTTCCTTTAAAACTTAGGGAATAATGACCTATAGATAACAATCAAGAACCAAGTTTTAGTTTGGACCAATTTCTGTTTAATATTATTCCGAGTGTTTCTTCTCTGTGGTCCACAGACCAATAGAGTAGGGATTTCCTGGTAGCTTATTAGAAATGCAGAATCTCAGACCTTAACCCAAATCTACTTAATTAGCAATCTGCATTTTAAGAACATCCCCAGGTGATTCATTTGCACATTTAATTTGAAAAGCACTGATATATAGGAGCATTTTAGAATGGAAAGGATTAAAATAATGGAGAGATAATAAGCCCATGAGGAGGATAACTGCAGCTTTGACTATTATTGGTAGTGACCCTTTATCTCTAAAAAGGGGAAAAGAGCTAAAACTGAGGTGTAAACCAGAATACCATCCTCTACTGTCACTTGTAATCAATGACAGGATGCACTACCACTTCCCTAAGTAGACCTATCCTTGTTAAACATTAAAAGCCCCATGGTAATATATAGTATGATTAGCAAATCAGTCTCAAACCAGGTCTTGCTAAAGATGTTTTTGAGGTATTGGGGAAGAAGGAGGAATGTGGAGGGAAAAGGTCAAGGCTAGACAGGGAAATGGCAGTCAACCACATGAGTGGGTCTAAGGGAACTAGTATTTCAATTCCTGTCTTCAGAGCTGCATAACAAGTTCTACTAATCCAAAAGATTTCTGGTATTCCGTTCCATAAACCAACAAAATGACAACAAATCTTTATAAAAGGACAAAAAGTCCTTGCAAAAGGACCCCTGGAACTCCTGGCCTGCTAGCTGTATAGATTTTTTTTTTTTTTAAGATTTTATGTATTTATTCATGAGAGAGAGAGAGAGAGAGGCAGAGGGAGAAGCAGGCTCCCAAGGAGCAGGGAGCCCGATGCGGGACTCGATCCCAGGACCCTGGGATCATGACCTGAGCCAAAGGCAGACACTTAACCATCTGAGCCACCCAGGCGCCCCTAGCTGTATAGATTTATTAGCTTTTCAATAATGTGACTCCAAATTTTCTGAAATTGAGTCCTTTTTTTTTTTTTGTATTCTGATAGAATTTTAAGATACCAAATATTTCCCAAATGCTTGGTATACAGACAGTACCCTAAGTCACCTCCCCCCTCTCTCCCATCTGACTTCTGTCACCTAGGGTGCCCTATGCTCTCACTTAGAAGCCTCTCCCCTAGGACCTCCCAGAAACACCTTTAATAACCTTTAAGTACCACCTTTCATAGCAGGAGTTCTCCAGGATCCTACTCTAGGGCAAAAATGAGTAAGGATGACTTCATGAGTGTATGCCCTGTGCAATTAACAGGTCCCTATGCTTGGGGGCTTGGGAGGGCCTCAAACACGATTTAATGATCTGCTGTCACCGTCTTGAAATTCCTAATGAGTTTTGAAGAAGGAGCCCCATATTTTATTCTTCACTGTGCCTGTTAATTATATATCTACTCCTGAGAGCCGGCATTAGTTCTGATTAGACTGCTCAGGCTGTACCATAAAAACATCCATATCCCAGTTTATGACTATGATTTCTCCCCGGGAGGGGTTGGCCACCAGCATTACTTATCCTTCCCAGTTCTGTGTTGCAGAAGCTCTGTTCTTGGCAAGGGATGTTTGAGGCTCCCTCCCTCCACCTAGCTCCTATTCCCAGGCACAGCAAGCTGAGAATACTCAGTTCCAGTAATCTTCACCCCAGCTTCCATGTAGGGCTGAGGTCCTATGCTGGAAGGGACAAACAAGAAGACTGAGATTCCCCTTCCCCTCCTGCCCCCCAGTCCAGAGTCTTGCTTGTAATGGATGGTACTGCAAGAGTAAAGATTCCTGCCCCATCTCTGGAGCAGTGGCACAGAGCTTCAAATATGGGAAGAGTCAGGCCATAAGAACAGAGCTTAGTAGCTCTCCCTAAAGGGGTTGACTTTATTTGGAATAGAGACTGGAAAGTTTCGTTTATGAATGCTGTCAAAAAATGCAGATTTGGGGCGCCTGGGTGGCTTAGTCAGTTAAGCATCTGCCTTTGACTCGGGTCATGATTCCAGTGTCCTAGGATTGAGTCCTGCATCAGGCTCCCTTCTCTGCAGGGCGTCTGCTTCTCCCTCTGTCCCTCCCCCCCTTCACACGTGCACTCTCTCTCACAAAAATAAATCAATAAAATCTTTAAAAAAATGCAGATTTTGCTGGTGAGCAAACATCATACAAAAAGGCAGAGGAGAATAGAGCTACATAGGTAGGAGTAACATTTCCCTATCTCACTGTCCTTAAGTTGGTATAAATTTGAAGTAGATCTGAGAAGTTAAGATGTATACTGAAAGCCCTAGTGCAACCAAGAAAATAAATTTTAAAAATAGTGAACAATTGTTAAAATAATTGAAATACTACACTAAAAATGTTCACTTACACATGAAGGCAATAAAGAGGAAAAGAATGAGAAAATAACATGAATCATAGGAAAAGCGTAAAGTAAAATGACAATTGTGAAACCAGTCATATTAACAATAAAACTGTGAATTAGTTAATCTATGCAAAAAGCAGACATTTTGAGACTGGATTTTAAAAAAAGATCCAACTATATACTATAAACAGGAGACAGATTTTTAGACTTAAAGATACAGGGTTTTAAGTGAAATCACTGAAAAAATATACCACATAAGCATCACCCAAAGACAGCAGAATTGGCTACACTAATATCAAACAAAAAGGATTTTAATTTAAAAAAGTCACTAGGGATAGAGACATTTTATAATGATGAAAGAGTGACTCCATCTGGAAGACAACAATTATATATGCATGTAACAAGACTGTCCAAAAATACATGGAGAAAAAAACTGAAGGAACTGGAGAAATAGACAACTCAGTAATAATAGTTATACTTTAATAACTCACTTTCTTTTTTAAAAAATATTTTATTTATTTATTTGAGAGAGAGAAAGCACAAACGGGGAGAGGGAGAAGCAGACTCCCCGCTGAGCATAGAGCTTGATGTGGGGCTCAATCCCAGGACCTTAGGGCTCGATCCCAGGACCCTGAGATCATGACCTGAGCCAAAGGCAGACACTTAACCAACTGAGCCAGCCAGGCACCCCAATAACTCACTTCCAATGATAGAACAAGTAGGCAGAAAATCAACTGGGAAACAGAGAACTTGAACATAATATAAACCTGCTAGGCCTAACACATCTACAGAGCAATTTATCCAAGAGCATCAGCATACACATTCTTCTTAAGAGTACATGGAACATTATCCAGGATATATGCTAGGACATAAAACGAAACAAATTTTAAAGCATATAAATCATTTGAAGTATGTTCTCTGACTATAAAGTAATGAAATTAGAAAATAATAAAAAATAAATATTTAGAAATAGACAAATGTTGAAATTAAATAACACACTCCTAAATAACCAGTGGGTCAAAGAGGGAATCGCAAGGGAAAGTAGAAAATACATCAATACTGGGAGCGCCTGGGTGGCTCGGTTGTTAAGCATCTGCCTTCAGCTCAGGTTGGGATCAAGCCCCCCATGGGGCTCCCTGCTCAGCCGGGAGTCTGCTTCTCCCTCTCTCACTCTCCCTGCTTGTGTTCCCTCTCTCACTGTGTCTCTCTGTCAAATAAATAAATAAAATCTTTTAAAAAAGAAGTAAAAGAAGGGCGCCTGGGTGACTCAGTTGGTTAAGCGACTGCCTTCGGCTCAGGTCATGATCCTGGAGTCCCGGGATCGAGTCCCACATCGGGCTCCCTGCTCAGCGGGGAGTCTGCTTCTCCCTCTGACCCTCCCCCTTCTCATGCTCTCTCTCTGTTTCTCTCTCTCAAATAAATAAATAAAATCTTTAAAAAAAAAGAAGTAAAAGAAAATACATTAACAATGAAAAAAAAAAAAGAACACAACATACCTAACTTAGGGGATCCAGCCAAAGCAGGATTTTAGCAGGAAATTTATAGCTACAAATTCATATATTAAAAAGGAAGAAAAAAAATCAATAATGTAACCTTCCACTAAAGACACTGGAAAAGGAGAGAAAACTCAGCCCAAAGTAAGCAGAAGATAGTATGTAATACACATTAGAGCAAAATAAATGAAATAGAGAATAGAAAAACAGATAATCAATAAACCAAAACATGGCTACTTGAAAAGGTCAATAAATTGACAAAACTTTAGCTATATTGATAAAAGGGAGAGAGAAGATTCATATTATTAAAATTAAGAATGAAAAAGAAATTACTATTAACCCGAGAAATAAAAATGTTTATAAGGGAATATTATGCCACAAAGTAAAAAACTTAGATGAAATGGACAATTTCCTAGAAAGACACAA